AGCAGTCCGTCAAAGGTTCTGGCAAATTACCCAAGAGGTCAGTGTCCATCCAATGTACTGTAGTCAAATAAAGATCCATAACATGCCAGATTTTCAAAATAAAAGCCCTGGATAGCAACTGAACCCCACAGTCCTGGAAATGTGCCAGCTTTTCAAAATAAAAGCCCAATGTCACAAATTAAGTTCACATGAAGGCCCCATAGTATACCAATTTTTCAAAATAAAAGCCCCTTGTTGCAAATTATGTTGAAATGAAGGCCCCATAGCATGCCAGATTTTAAAATAAAAGCCCCTGGTTGCAAATTAAGATCATGTGATGCCCCATAATGTACCAGAATTTCCAAATAAAAGCCCAGGATATTAACTAAAGCTCACATACAGTCCTAGAAACATGCCAGCTTTTCAAAATAACAGCCCAGCTTGCAAATTAACTTGGGGAAGGTTTCTATGACTTTTTTGATTTGAGTTTTACCTCAAATGGGTGATGATATAAACAACTATACTTAAAACATGAAATTTGACTGTCATTGTTTCCTTGACAACCAGTCAATTAACTAATCAGCCAGTCACCTTTATTTACCAAGTATACAAGCATACTAGGAATTTGTCTTAGTATTTGCTCCCACATAAAAGGACAAAACATAAAAATAATTCAGAGCCAGTGATTTTAAAACAAAATTTAAACTAGCCAAACTTTAAACTAGACAACAATCAATTAAATAAAAGAAAAGATTAAAACAACTCTTCATATATCTAAACAAATACAGTTCATAAGCCAAGGGATTATCCTTCATTAGAACAGGGTGCATTAAATACCAAAGCTGTTCCTGATAGCCCCAGGATATGTACTCCTCTTAAATTGTTCTGATTTATAATTGTGTTGTCTAAACCTTCTTCCAGAAGGCAATCTCTGAGGCAAGGGGGCTGCTGCATGAGAGCCCTCACTATTCAGTGCTTTTGTTTAAGATGACTGATAACTAAAGGGAGAGAATGGCCAATGATTTTAGATGTAGTCTTAACCACCTTCTCTAATGCTTCAATTTCTCCTGCACACAGTAACTGTCAGGTTTGCCCGGCTGCACCTTCCTCTCTTCTCTCTTTCTCACTCTAGTCTGCTCCTTCTCACTGATTCTCTTGATTAGACACACCTGTCCTGATTTTCTGACACTCTTCAGCTGCGCCTCCTTTGTCACTCCCTATTTATACTCGGCTTTCCCATCACTCCCTTGCTAGTTCTTTCTCTGTCGTTAGCCTTCCCTTGCGTTACATATTGTACTATATTGTTATCCTGTTTAAACATATGTTATTT